AGAATATATAAAAAACATTTACAGTTATGACTGATTTGTTCAGGAATCAGATCCCTGTGTTCTGTACAGCCCGAGCCCAAATGCCATGGGCAGCATGGACAGACACACAGGCAGGGGCCACTCAGCAGAGGCTGGGCATCAACAAACAACGGGGGTTTGTCCCCTCTAACCTTTAAGGCACCTTAGTGTGACAAAGGGGTTTGATATATTCCAGCCTGTACGGAATGGATGTCCACGACTACCCTGAAACTGCAGCCAGGCATAAAGCAGGATTTGTCTGCTTAAAAATCACAGTTGTGTAACACATGAATACAATTAATTCATCTGGGAACCCCCACAATTCTGAACCACACGAACAGCACTCGGGCTGTACACTCGACGGGCCACAACCCAGGCAAGGGAAGAGACGGGAGGGACAGACACGAACCATGACTCTTTATGGACAAGAAAAAGCAGCAGCCTCGCAGGGGCTGAGCTGCAGACCTGCCCGGTGCCCCCGTCTCCCGCGGGGAGCTGCTACCGGCCCCCGGCCGCTGCCGCGCCCCACGCCGAGCTGACCGCCGGGAGGGGAGGCCCCGGCTCTTCCCCCGGGACGGCGCATCCCCGGGTGCCGAGACCCCGTGCCCGGTGTGCCGAAACTCCCCCGTGCCCGGGGGGCTGTGCCAACCCGTCCCCAGGGCGCTGTCACCCCCTGGCCTCCCCGGGACGGCCCCGGGGCTGCCGCCCGGCTGAGGGGGTGGCGGGGTCGGGCGAGCGGAGGCTGCAGGGAGGCGTTGGGAGGGGCTGAGGGGCCAGCGGGGCCAGGGGTCGGAGGGGGCCGGGCAATGCCCCCACGCCCGCGGTACTCACTCAGCCACGACTCCAGGCTCTCCCCCTCAGCCTCCGCCATGTTGCCGGAGCGACCCGGGGCCCCGCCCCGCCCGCGCGAGAGCCGCGCGAGGGGGGCGGTGTCGGTTCTGGCCCCGCCCCATCCGCCGTGGCCCCGCCCCGCGCGGCGGCGCGCGCAGGGAAGATGGCGGCGCCCAGCGCGGCGGGGCTGGGCCGGCGGCTGCGGGCGTGGCTGCCCCGGTGAGCGGGGACAGGGGCCGGGGGGCGCCCCAGGGGCTGGTCCCCACCGCGGGAACAGGGGCAGCGCGGGAGGAGGCCTGGGGGCGGCTCGCCGGGAGTACACCGGGGGTGCGGGGAGGGTTTGCGCCGCACCGGGAGCACGCGGACAGGCCGCCCGCCTGTTTTGCCGGGTCACACAGGCATAGAACTGTCAAGGTTGGAAGGTTGGGCCTTTAAGGTCATCCAGTGCGACCATGCACGCAGCATTGCCATTCTATCCCTAAACCACATCACCCAGCGACAGAGGCAGACGCCTCTTGAACAGCTCCAGGGACGGTGACGGCCCCGGGCCCTGCGCAGCCCTTCCAGTGCCTGGCCACAGGAACAGTGACAAAAGGGACAGAATCCGCACTGAGCTGCTTGCCCCACTGCCACGTGATGCCTTTCACATCCAGGATTCCTTCTGAGGCGTCTTCACATCTGTCCACATCTGCCTGCATCCCTATCACGACACAGCACGTGCACTGGGTTACAGCCCCGCCTCTCTTGGTCCTTGCAGGATAATGCCCGTGAGATGGAGCCGCTACAACCCCAGCTACTTGGAGCCAGAAGTGAAAAAGGAATTGCATCAGAAACCTTTAGAGGAGCTGACTGAGGAGGAAAGGGAGCAAATGGAGCTTAAGGCTGTTCGACCCATCAAAGCTGCTCCTCCCAGTCTCTCAAGTTCCGTGTTCAGCGACCCCATGATCAGGTCAGAGAAAGCAGCAGCTCCTCCTCTCTCCAAAAATGCCTGGGAACTGTGCTGCCCTCTTCTCCCTTTACCTGCTGGCTTCACATTACCTTTTGTTACAGCACAATCCCTGTATTCTGGGTTAATCTTTTCCCAAAAACGAGTCCATTGTTCTGCAGTGATTAGAGATAATTACAGCAGATCTGGCAGCACCCACACTTAACCATGGGAACAACACAAAGGAATGGGGGTTGGAGGCTTATTTCTTTGGGTGATAAAATCAGAATTCATATCAGATCCTATCTGACTTTGTCTTTACAGTAAATTCACCAATATGATGATGAAGAGTGGAAATAAAGTGCTGGCCAGAAGCCTCATGTCTCAGGTAAGAACTCAGGTTTCTTCTCACTATTATGTTAAAACTAGACAAAATGGAAGGCTGCGATGTCAAACCCACTGGAATTGGGATTACCAGAACTCGGGTAGTCCATCTCTGTGTTCCTGATGTGCTTTGCTCTGCCACACGTTGCTTGCAGCATGATTCCTCTGATAAACCATGATTTGTTTGATAAAATGTAACATTGCCCCAGCCTCCTTAGTTCACAGACCAGCAGATGACAGCTTCATGGAGAACCTTCTCTTTCCATCCTTCAGTATTCCTCTGTTCTTTTGTACTGCATAAACACAGGGAATACCCTTAAAAAGCATGATTTTCTCTAAAGATCTTTGCAGCTCTCTGTCATGCCTTACCCTCTGTATAACTTGCCCTTGAAGTCCCACAGATGTGTCACCTACAATGGAACAGCTTTGAGCCTGCTCTGACCCACACAGCCATAGCTATTAACTGCTGTTCCCATCTGGTCTCTTCCACCCCTGAACTCCCTTCAAATGGAAACATTTTGCCCAAATGTTTCCAATTAACTGCTGATTCCTGGTTACAGAAAAGCACACAGGTCTGGAGGGGAGGCTTTGCAGGGGAAGATGCTCAGTGCACAGACCCCTCCCTATTCCTGGCTCCACTTTGTCCCTGCCCTTCCCTGGCTTCTGGCCCAGGTTTGTGCTGCTTATCCCCCTCACCTGAAATGCAGTGACTGGTAAGAGAGACTGAAGAGCTGGAAGAGGGTGAAGTAAAACTTGAGTTAAAGAATTACCAGTGGGTCTTTTGCCTCTGGGGCTGGTGGACCAGCTGCTCAGGTGAAAATGGGGTGCCTGTAAAAGTAATGTAACCTCATGGAGTGGGAGAATCCATCTGCCCTGTATGTCTTCTTTCTTGCCTTTCTTCCAAGACTCTGGAGGCCATTAAAAGGAAGCAGCTGGAGAAGTACCACAAAGCTCCAGAAAATGAGAAGGAGACAATTGAATGCAACCCCTACGTCATTTTCCACCAGGCTCTCAAGAACTGCCAGCCCATCATCGGGCTCAGCAACATCACCAGAGGAGGAAAAACCTACCAGGTGAAAGGGGGCCTGGGAGCACATCTGGTTGTAAGACAATTAGCTAGGGAGGCAAATGAACTGGTTTCCACCCCATCAAGAGAAGCTCAAGATTCTCTCTTCTTGGAAAGAGCCACTTTGCAATCTGGAATAAAACAGCACCTAGAAACTGTCCAAAATCAGGATTCCCACCTCTGAGTATTGTGCTTCCCCTGTGACAGAATCACTTAAGGTTGGAAAAGACTTCTAAGATCAATCAAGTCCAACCATTAATCAGCAGCAGTCTCTGGTTCTCTGACTAGATTTGAGGAGAAATACACAGCAACTATTTTCCAAAGAGACAGAGATCAGCAGCAAAAGAATTGGTAGTCTTTGGACTACCAGTCCCATCCTTTCAACTGCACCAAGTTGCTTGGGGAGAGGTCCCAAACCCTGGGGCAGGTCAGCATGGCAAAATGGGTCACCTAGATCCAGTGGGATATTTAAAACACGAGCAGAATCTGTTTCTGAGTATGGGCTCTGCAACCCTTGGGGCCTAAAGAAGAGATGAGATGTAGAGGCATTTGGAATGAGATGATCTTTAAGGTCCATTCCAACCCAAACCATGCTGTGATTCTGTGACTTCTCTGTATTCAGTGCAGAGATGGGGTGACCATTTCCCATCTCTGCTAACTCAAACCAGCCTGGACCCAGCTCCCAGACAGGCCAGAGTTTCCATTTCAGTAGCAGTGGCCAGTTCCTATGGACAGAGCAGGGGAACTGGCAGGGCTCAGCTGTGGAGTGCGGGTCTGGCTGCACAGAGCAGCACAGTGAGCACCTGCAGGTGCAGCTGGTGCAGTGTGGCTGCTGGGGAGGAGCAGCTGCTGATACCTGCCATGTTTCACCCTTTCCCAGGTGCCCGTCCCGCTGACGGACAATCGGAAGCGCTTCCTGGCCATGAAGTGGTTGATCACCGAGTGCAGGGAGAACAAGCACCGCCGGACACTGATGCCAGAAAAGCTCTCCCAGGAGCTGCTCCTGGCCTTCAACAATGAGGGCCCTGTCATCAAGAGGAAGCACGTCCTGCACAAGATGGCAGAGGCCAACCGGGCGTACGCCCACTTCCGCTGGTGGTAGGGACCCTGCGTGGGACACGCTGCCATGGCCTGGAGAGCAGAGCCCCATGGCTGCCAGCCTGGGAGAGGGCAAGGGGGAATATCCCTTGCAGGCAGCTTCTGTTCTAACCCAGGGAAAGCTCACACGATCCCCACAAGCTTCTTTTTCTTTGTGCTTGTTTGGATGGGGGAAGGGGGAGTCTGAGTTACCAGCCTCAGTGGGGCTGCTCCAGTTAGTTCATAATCACTTCCCTGTGAAGACAAGCCTTAGATGTTTTTCTTACAGTAATGCTAAACAAAACCATCTTTCACTTACCTGTTTCCTGGGGATCTGAAATCTGAAAGTCTTTCTGCTCCTCAAATCAGCAATGTTTTTGGCTGCACAGCTGAGAGCAGAGCTGGATCCTTTTCCACAGGGATTGGTACAACAGGCAATAAAAGGCCCTTTTTGATTTTGGCCATCAGCAACACGGTCTGCACAGATTTGATGGGAATGTGGACAAAATAAAACCGGTTTTATGGGAAAGGTTTCCCGATTCCAGACTTTTGTCTTTGTTGCTCCAGGTACCCTGGTTGTGTAAAGCCCTGAGGCCCTAGACTGTAGCAAACAGAGTTATCTCAGCCTTAGGGCTCCAGTCAGGAGCAACACTTCAGTGTTGCTCAAGCTCAGCAGCTGTGCAGGGAGAAAGCAGGGCATACATTAGTGGAAAACTTTTATTAGAAAAAAACCCTTCAGTAGACTATTTTGTTTTATTTCTTCCTCTTCCACTCTTATAAGAAATATACCGTAGCTGAAACTTGCAAATTCTAGAAAAAAGTGACAGTTATTGTACAAAACCTATAAAACCTGTTCCTACATGTGCTCAGGGACCTCTTCTGTTGCAGGCTGCCCTGTGGCAGGTATTCCTAGCTGTGGAAGAGCTGTGTCCATGCAGGTGCAGCCAGCCTGCTGGAAGAAGTCTGGGAAAAAAAGCACTTGGTTGAGCTGTTTGTGAGGCCATGGTGTGTTCTGTGACCCATCCCAGAGAACCAGGTACAATCTGAGCTGGGAGAGTTCCCTGCTGCCTCCCACAGCTCTGCTGGCTTTGGGGTGAAGCAGAATGTTCTCAGCCTAAACTGTGCTTTCTTTAACAGTCATAGAAAATGCTGGTGTGAGCTACAAGCCTCCCGAGCCCTTGGCTAACAACAGCAGCCCAATATTAAGACAAAATCAGTGGGAGAACTTGCTGGGTAAAATGTGCCCTTCCTACTGCTCTGAACCTCCAAAGTCAGACCAGCACCAGCTGCATCTGACAGTAGGTGCAGAGAGGCTCTAGCCAGTATAAATCCTATTTACAGGGAGTGCTAGAAAATTAATGTGAAAAATTCCAAATTGGTATGAAGCTTGCTGGTGAAGGTGCTGGGAATTCCTCTGCCTTGGGAGGTTAATCTGTCACTTCACTGTAATAATATTTCTGGGCAGCGTCCGTCATCTTCCACTCAGCAGCCCGGAACTCGATGATCTCCAGCAGCAGGAGCTGGGACAGGGAGCTGAGCCCCTCCTGCAGAAGGAAACCATCTCGGAGCAGGGAGAAGAGCTCGTCCATCCGCTGGGAATTCATCTTCTCCAGCTGCTCACCAATGCGGTGGAGCTGCAGGACCAAGCAGTCCACCTTCAGAAGGAAGAGTAGATGGCTGAGCACAAAGCAGTGGAGGCTCCTCTGCACCCCCCAGGCTGTGCTTTTTACAGGTCCTTGGCAGGACAACAGGCACATCAGCAGCTCTCCCTGCACTCACCTCCTCCTCCTTCTGCAAGCTGTCGGGCTGTGCCAGCCGGAACAGGCAGTCGTACACGGGGTTCACCAGAGCCATCATGGGCATGTTGTTCACCTGCAAGGAGAGTGGAGCATTGTCAGCCTGGGGCCAGAAGGGAGTCTGCAGCTATTTTAAATAGTTATTCCCTTGCTGATCTCCAAAGGAGATGATAGCAGGATTTAGTTGTGCTGTGTTAGTGGGATTTTCATCAGAGATCAGACATTTGAGTCTCCAGGAACCAGAGGAGCTGAACAAATGATGTAAAAATAATCTATTTTTAAATGTAAGCAAGTAGTCATGGGAAATACACTTGTTCCAACAGTATTTTTCCTGCCTGCAGCTCTACTTGCATCATTTTCACATCTCCAAGCAGGAATTCAAGATTCACACACTGCACAAAGGCCTGAAGCCAAACTCCATCAGCAAACCCCACAGCAACTGAACCAGTCCAATCTGGGACATTTGGGATCAGGCAAATCAGGGGATTTCAAACACCAGGTACAAAATGAGGAAGCTGAGACTTTGTGACTGTTCCTGAAGACTTCCTCTGCCTCTCCAAGCCTGTAGATAGCACCAGCTCTGTCAGCATCCTTGTGCAAAGAACCAGCTCTGGCCCCCATGGCACTGGGGCTCTGTACAACACCCACCCACCACCCCTGCTCTGTTATCCTGGGATGCCCAGGCCCTACTGGCACTCCAGGCAGCAGCAGCTGGCTGCTCCAGCTCCTTACCCTCAAGTAGTCAAAGATGTTGCAGATGAAGGTGACGTAGCAGATCCAGGCCTGGAGTGAGCGAGTGCGCAGCTCCTCCCTGTCCTTGTACTCCTGCTGCAGCCGGTTCAGCAGGCTCCTCCGGAAGATGCTCTGGCCAACTTGTTTGCTCTCTGCCTATAAGCCCACAAAAACAGGATGGAGGGATGAAACAGGGGTGCCAGAGGGGCAGTCGGATGCAGTCGGACACAGATACCCTTCTGTGATTCCCAAAGAGGCAGAAAAGCTGCAACTCACTGCCTGTGCTGGCCCACTGCTCTTCTGGATGCTGCCACTGCATGGGGCAAGTGGCAGGACAGGAGAGATGGGCAAGGGGTAAGAGCATGTGCCTGGGGCAAAGCCCTTCCTGGTCCAGCCCAGGGACAAGCCACACAACATCCCAGGTGTTTCACTGTCCAGACAGGAGCTCTCACCTGGATGATGGTGTAGCAGATGCGCCCAGCCTCCTTGCTGAACACAGAGTCTTTGAGGGACTGGTCCACTATAATATTGGCCACTTTCTCCAGGTCCACATTACTGGGGTCTGCAGAGAAGAGGAATGCTGTTAGGACCCAGCCCTCTTTGGCCCCTGATTGCTTTGAGGCAGCAGCTCAAAGCAAGCCCTGGAAAGCAACCAAGGTCTGTGCAGGGCCCAGTAGAGTCACATTAAATGGTGCAGAAGCTGTGTGGCAGAGGAGCTCATAAAGACCTGCTGACCTTTGAGGGCTGTTTTCAGCAGCTTCTGAGTCTCTGAGTCGAAGGACTGTATTTTGTACTCTTCTTTGCCCGTTTCCCCCATGACTGGTTTCCTCCAAGGGCAAGAATCAGGGCAGTGGATGAGCTAGTGACAGTCCCTGGGGAAGGAGCACACAGAGCTTAATTGGACAGAGGCAAACCTTCACCCATTTCCCATTCAGCACATCCCAGGTAGTGTTGAAGCACAGGCTGTTTCCTGACAGCTCCCCACCCCAAAGAAACTCCTCTTTTATTAGGGCACCAACTCTACCTCTAGATCGGTGCAAATCCTCATTCCCACATCTTTTAAAGCCTTGTCTCCTACCAGCTGATAATAGAACTTCAGAGCCTTTATATTTTTCTGATATGAGAAACATGTTACAGGCAAAGCAGACCCAAAATATATGTGGTTGTATCACAGGAAGGCACACACTGCTCCCTTGGGCCTTTTAAACACCAATTCAGCAGCTTTCATACCAAAATCTGTGAAGAATCAAAGCCAGTACAAAAGCATCCAACACACACTCACTAGAGCACCTCTCCTGCACCACAGCCAGGCTTCTCAGCTCCCAGCTCGACACAGCAAACTCAGCAGCTAAGTCCCCAAGAGCTCCCATCTCTCATCCCTCTGCAGTCAAGCACTCTCTGCAGCACCAGCAGTGCTCCTAACTAGTCTCTAGACTGATTTTCTTCTGCTTCATGATACAGTGAAGACAGCAAGAGGGTATGCACAGCACAGAGAGGAAGGGCTTGCTTTGATTCACACGGGATCTGATGGATGGAAATGCAGAGCTGTCCAGACCGGCAGTACAAACAGGAGAAGGCAATCAGCCAAATGAGTTTTGCCAGCTCGTCGAAATTCCTCGGCCATTACTCACCCCTCTCTGCAAACAGGTCCCTACCCAGATCAAAGCACAAGAGCCTTTAGGGGGATGGGACAGGTACCGTGGGCAGTCCCCTCACATACAGCACAACAGTAACTCAGAGCAGAGAGCAGCCCCATGGGGGTGACCACTCGCCGACGCTGCTTTCGCAGCCAAAGCTCTCGCCTACCCTGCAACTGGCATTGGGGATTCTTTCCCTGGTGGATTCACAAGCAGCTGGGTGCTCTCCTTGCCATGCCTGGTTGGCAAACACCTTCCTAGCCGACCTCTCCTCTCTCTGTATCTGCACTCAGGCCATGCTGCACTGCCAGTGGAGCAGCCCGAGATCGCCAGCAGGCCCGTGTCCCACCGGCAGCAGCTCCAGGCAGCAGGACCCTGGCGAGAGCGCAGCGCCGCACGCAGCGCAGCGAGAAGCGCCCGAGCCCGTCTGGCAGCGTCTGTGCCACCGCCGCCCGGCCCCTCTCCCGGAGCTTGCGTTCCTCGGCTCCCTGGGATGGCTACGGCTGCTTTGAGCTGCTGAGCCAAATAACCCTGCCAGAGCAAACCACAGCGTGTGAACGCCGAGCCCACCAGGTCTCGTCTGCATTAGAGACCCTCCTGCCAGCACCACCTTATCGGAAGGGCTGGTGGCAGTGGGTGACATGGGGCACCTGTGGGTACCGACTGCTCCTCTGCCACTGGCCCCGGCTAGACGAGCCGTCCCGGGGGCTGACTCGGTTGGGGTCAGCACCCTCAATCTGCCGCTGATCCACCAGCTCAGGTGGATCACACAGGCACCTGTAACCTGTAGGGTCACACCTGGCAGTATGGGCTGGACAAGTCCTGGCCACTGCAAGGAGAGGGAGAAGAGCAGAGAGTCTCCTCTGTCACCCCATAGCGTCTGCCCCAGGGGCTCTACCAGCCCCCGGAACCCCCATCCCATCCCCGCCGAACCGCAAGTGGAACCCCCAGCGTTGAGACGCCTCTTGCCCGGGACAGCTGGACCAGCGGACCCCCAGGAAACCCCACCGCTGCCTCCCGTCGCTCCAGCCCCGCGGCTGGAACAAGCCCAAGGGCCACGGACGCAGGAAGAGGCGGATCCCGGGGAGAGCAGCCCCCGCGCTGCCCGGCCAGGGCAGGGGGAGCCAAGCGCAGCCCCACCGACCTGCCGGCCGCCCCCGCTGTGTCCTCCGGCCGCCGGGACATTGCCGGCACCTCCCGCGCCCTCCCGGCACGGCCCAGGTTTCCTCTTAGGTCATTTCCTCGCCCGAGCCGGGGGAGGGCCGGGCCGGGCCGGGCGGGAGAGCGGCGGCAGCTGCGGCAGCGCCACCGCCTGCGAGCGTCGGAGCACGGCGGGCTGAGCGCCGGGTACGGCCGGCTGCTCCTCGGGAAACCCCCGGGCTCCCCCAGGCACGGCCGGCTGCACCCCCGACACCTTCCCGGGCACGGCCGCTGCTTTTCCGACTGCCCTGCTGGGGGATCTCGGGCAGCACTCACCCCTCTGCCCCAGTCCCCCGCGGGGCTGTCCCGGCGCTCTACGGATGACAACGGCGTGAATTCCACCCTTCCCTCCGGGCCAGAGGCAGGCTGCAGCCCAATGGTATTAAAAAATGAGTAGGAAAAAAGTCAGGAAAGAGGAGTGGCAGTAAACCAATGCACTGCAACAACAGCTCAGTGTGATATAACACACTTCACGTTTTTTTCTCTCAAATCTCAACCATTTCATAAGGGAAGACCCCACAGGGGGTGAAGTCTTCACCACAGAGCAGACAGGCTGCTAAACCAGGGAATGGCTGAGGGAGCACAGAATGAACAGTTTGGGAATATTTTCTGTAGCACTGCATGGCCTGGCTGGATACAAAGAAAGCCTGAACTATTCCACCGGGGGTGTGATGCTCAGGACTGGTTACCACAGCTCCAAATGCCCCTCTAGGACACAGCAGTGGGACTGGGCTGCAAAAATCCCCCTTAGCTAATCCCTCTTGGTGCAGTTCTCAGTAGTGATACCCAGCAGAAAGGGTACAGTTCTGCCTACGGCTGAGGAGCACCTACAAACCAGCAATGGGAAATCCAAATGGCTCCTGTTGCCCTATGCTCTGGGCCCTGACTATTCTCCCTTTTAGGCAACAGGAGGGCCACGATGTTCCTGCAGGGTCCAGCAGAGGCACAAAGAGGAAAGGAATAAATCGACTGCATCCAGCTACTGCATAACAAAATATTTAATGTATCTTGTCTTAAAGGTAGGCACACACTGTGCATGTTGTGCCGAATGCTTTCAGGAAAGAGCAGCTGCAAAAGATCCACTCTGGCAACACAGCAAAATGCCACTGTTACAGTTTCTACATCACAAGAGAAACTTAAATCTAAATTAAATACCATCTATTCCAGTCCCGACTGTAAAACATTAATTTCTTGACAAAAATGATGCTGTGCAGCTCTGGATGAGTATCCTGAGAGTGGGACTGTCCTAGGAACTTGGTGAGCCAGCCAGCACTGCAGGAATCAGCATGTTCCTCACAGATCTTGTGTGTCCAAGGCAGGCTCAGTGCGTGGTGGAGCTGCAAACGACTGGGGCACAACTGCTCACCAATGCTCTGCCTGCTAAGGAGCTTTTGGACATTCTCATGGTAAAAGGCACTAGAAGAAAACAAATGCAACTGCTGAGCAGCTTGTGAGGTGAACTGCAGGCAAATCCCTGGTGATAGGACTAGCTTGGAAAGAAATCCCAAGGGCCAAAATCAGCCAAGTCTCACAGTGAGGCATTTGCCATGTTGAGTCACTTCACACTGAACGGGAGCAGCAGCTTCCAAGAGCATATATGCCCCAGTACAAGAAGAACAAGGTGACCACAGATCTCTCCCATCTCCTGCTCCTCTAATTCTAGAGATTTAGCTCCTAACAGCATGTGTTTTGCCAGAGCAGCTTGAGAAATAAGATCTGTCCACCTAGTGCTTCATTCAGCCTCAATCCCACAGAGAAATCAACACTCCTCTTACAGTGCTTTCCCCAGCAAAGTGCACTTGAGAAATCTATGAGGACAGATGCTGCTGATCAGAGGTGAAGAAGTGATTGTTGGATGCAGCTTCTAATATTGTTGAGGTTGTCACATCTTTCTCCCTCTCACTGGAAGCCCAGATGACTTTATGGGCCTGTAACATTTGTGACTCGCAGCCTAAAAGCCTCCAACCAGGGAGTGTCTATTCCACAGCCTGGGCCAGACAGGCACAACCTAAACTCCAGCTTTGCCATCTGCTGGGTGGAGGCAACCTCAGTTAATGCAGAGTGGAGGAAAAAACTACCCCAAGAGAGGAAAAGCTGCCCCATACTCTCCAGTGCTGCCCTCTGTGGAGCAGCCAAACTGCCCATACCAGCATCACCTCAAGCTCCACAGCACCCTCGAGGAATGTCATCTTAACAGAGTACAGATCTTCCTGCTCTTTCCTGCTGCTGAGTTCCCAACCAGTTTCCCCCTATTTTGTGTAGTTTGGCAGCAGCTATTTGATAGAAAATGGAAAACAAGTCTTGCAATGTTTAGACAGGATGGATGAGTCCCCATTTCCTAAGGAAGCCTAGGTCAGCACCGAATATTTTCTGCTCTGGCCTGTCCCTGCTAACCATGACGGCATTCCTCTCACCAGCAACAAAAGACAGTAACAAAGCCAACCTGTTAGTGTGTGTTTTGAAAAGAGACATTTCTCTCCCTCAGAAGGATGTCATGAGGCTGAGTTCATTACTCCTTATCATGTCTTTCCAAGAACAACAGGTGAACAATAAACAAAGGCTAAACATCATTAAGAATATTCTGAGGAATCTCAGAAGAGCCTAAATAACACAGGAAAATGACAATAGGATTGAGGCACTTGGAGAAACTCCACATTTCCTGCATTTTCTGCTTAAACTAAATGGCCATTTTTAAAGTATATGCATCTCTCTCTCCCCTCTTTAAGACTCACATATCGGCCTCCTGCCTGACACTGACACTGGTGAATGAACTTAATTTTACACAGCTCTGTCACCTGCAGGCCACTTTGTACTCCAAGATCTCAAACCCATAGCACACATAAAGTTATTCAGCCTGGGCTTGCAAGGAATTTCTCCAGATACCTCAGCCACCAGTGAAACAGCTGTTTTTTAAAAACAGCCTCTTACAATAGCTCAGGATAAGTGAGCAAGGCTGATGTGCTCAAAATTGCCAGGACAAGTTTCGTCAATGGAATGGAATTGGTCAGGAATGGAATTGGTCACGCTGGAATCTGGCCAGACCATTTGGGATTAACACCCTGAATACTGCAAAAGAGCTGGGAAAAGCTTTGTGTAAAAAACCATCAAACCATCCTCCAAATAACTGCAGTGCTCTGCCTTATCCACCCTTTGCAGATGACTAACGTGCTTTTGTATGGCAGGGCTGGGAACTCTGCCTTCCACACAATCCAGCCACACCCTGCTAGGCTTGAAAAAACACAGAATAAAAGAGGAGGAAGAAAGTAATTTTCCTCTTTTCCACTGTTACATAAATCAGAGTTGTTGGTAGGTTGTCTTGTTGGTTTTTTTAACCACTCATAAAATGTTTGAAACTCCAGAAAAACACTTTTCCATCTCTAATTCAATCATCCATGTGAAACATCACGCTCAGCCAACCAATTCCCATTTGATGTTCATTCCTTTCACTTCAGCAAATCTTGTCAAAACATTTTCATCTGCTAGCACCAGTGCAGGACTGAGGTTCTGAAATATTTTGAGACCACTACAGAAATACAGAAACACATTCAGAGGTGCTGTTAAATAAATAATGATAAAAAATTACTAGTTTCCACAGGACTTTCCCTTCATTATTCCAGCTTAGAATAATTATTTCTTAACTCTACACAGCATTTGTTTACTCACTGCTTTGAAGCAAAGCACCCTGAAGTAAAAATGCAGTTTGTGCGTTGAATCCCCTCAGAATCGGGCTCTTAATATGCAAGTTTGCTTGTAAAAAGTGAGTGAGGCATTGCAAATCCCTAAGAGATGTATGGCCAGACACCCAGGAAGGGAAAAGGGAATTCAGCATACAATCAAGTTCACTGGAGTTAAAGGAAAAACAAGTCTGATCCAGCATGATCAGAGAAGATGCTGTGTTTAAGATGACAGAGAATGCTCAGCTAGCAAGTGGTGACCAAGAAGCAGCAGCTGGCAGCAAAGGAAAACTGAGGGTCTGTGCATTTATGTGGCTTTACACCAGCAGGACAGAGCGACCTGTGCAACACCAAGACAAGAGTCTGGTGGAAACAGCAGGCACTGAGCAAAGGAATAAAGCTGTGCAGATGCAGTGCTAGGAAATGGTGTCTGGTTGGTTAAGCAGCACTAGGCTGGGCCAGAATCCCCTCTCTGGGATCCAGGACAAGCTCAGGGATTCACCCACTCTACTGGGTGCCTTTCCAGAGCACAGGAATTGCTAGGCAGTGGTCTGTTTGTTCCCCCTCTCACCACTAAATGTGCACTGATATGAGAGGAGACAGAAGGAAAGTGCTCTGTTGAATGGCTCCCAGCCAAGTAGTTCAGTGTCTCCAGCAGAACTGCAGTTGCCTTCTCCTTCTGCTTGGTCTCAGGAGGTGATTCCCCACAGGCTGGGGGAGCTCTGGGAGCCCTGACATTTCCAACATGCTCGTGACAGAGCAAGGCCATCAGTCTCCCCTCCTGAGGAGAACAGCAGGCAGCCACACACATCCCTTTCAGCCTTCCTTCCTCTTCGTGCTCTCAGGGCTCTTCATGGTGCACAGGAGGCTGCAGAACAGCTCGTACCAAAAGAAGATGAGGCCAGAGGAGAAGGCAGCCTTCAGCAAACTGGGAGAGAGGCCCTTGAAGAACCCACCTGGGCCCTCCTCTCGCATGACCTGCCTCACACAGTCCAGGAAACCCCCATACGTCCGTACCTGGGAGAGAAATGGCAACAAGGTTAAACAAGAAAACTTCAGCACAACTGGAAAAAACCACAAAGATCCCCAAACTATACACAGAAACATTATCTTGACATGCAGCCTGGAGATGCCTTTCTGGATAATATAATAACTAACTGAAACTTTTAGAGAGAGTGTAGAGAGAGCAGGATAGAGGAAATGTAGACATACAGCATCAGTAATGGTTTGTGCACATCATTCACTGAATGGCTGTAAAACCTCTCCATGCAACAACAGCCTGACTTTAAATTTATTGCAGAGGTTTGTGAAGTCATTATTTAAGATTGCATAGCTGC